ACCATTGTACAGGGTATGACTGTGCAATGACAATAAAGAGTTATCTTTTCCAGAATCGAATCTCAAATCCTTCTCTTCAATGGGTTAGATAAGTATAAGGGGAGAAAAAACTTAATTTGAGAAGATCCAGATTACAATCAAGTAAAATAATCTGCCAGTCCAGCAAGATAATTACACTTGATAAGATTTCTTGAAGTAAGAAAAAATATCTAGACTTTAGATAAGTGATAAATATCCTAAAACACTCATTACATGTACGTTATTGAGTCAAATAAAGCCAAAACCTGTCAGTGATTCTTTCACGATTGCCTCTTTCTCCCTTCGAGGCTTGGAGGCTATTCCAGCTGCCATAGGGCAAGAGGCAGGCTCCACCCTGGACCAGTCACCAGGAAGCAGATAATGTACAACTACGGACAACTTAAAATCACTACTAACTGCAGGACTTTGGAAGGAAGCTAGAGAGAACCCACAAGGACAACATACAACCTCCACACAGAAAGGTGCAACTGCAATCACTACTGTGATGCCTGTGTGTTAATGTTTGTACAGTAAATGTCTAAGTGTGTAAATTGCTACTGAGAGGTCCTGAAGCAGTGTCTTGGTGATATAATTTAGCCCAGTATGTATTTAAAGTAACCAATTTTAGGCGTTAGAAACTAAGTAAGAAATAAAAGATCCCAAAACAAGATTCATAATCTTATACTTTCTGCTCTTGCTTGGTATATCACTTTACAAACAAGGTCAAAAAGACTTTTTGGCTGGATATAAGATTGTAAGAGTTGGTTAGACTGCCAGTTTTTGCAGTCCAGGTATTGAATAATCACACCCCATCTTATCTCAATGACCTTATAGTTCCTTATCACCCCAATAGAGTACTTCACTCTTTCCTAGGATATTTAAAAGTAGAAGGTGAGGCAGAGTCTTCAGTTTTCAGGCCCCTCTTCTGTGAAACCAACTCCCAGTTTGATTTCAGGAGACAGACACCCTCTGTACTTTTAAGATCAGGCTTAAAACTTTCCTTTTGATAAAGCATATAGTTAGTGCTGGACCAGGTGACCCTGAATCCTACCTTAGTTATGCTGCAATAAGTGTAGGCTGTTGGGGGATTCCCATGATGGACTGTGTCTTTCTCCTTCTCTCACCCCTTTTTACTCACCATATGTTTATCCAACTGTCTGCATTTAGTCATTAGTCATTATTAATCTCTAGCTCTCTTAGTCCTATGTTCCTTCCCTCTCCCCAAAACAGTTGTGGCAGATCCCAAAAAGTTTAATGTGTTCATCTGGACATGGCGTTTTCAGTGGGAGAAATGTTTGGTCACTCACCCAAGTGTCTCAGCTGACTGCAGGTTTCCCCAACCTTATAAACAGTACATTGAACAATGGGCCGTGAGGTGAGTTCACTGATCATTAATCTGCAAATTGTCATTACCATCGATCAACAAGCACTGATCAAAGACCGTTGATCATTGATCAAAGGCCATGAGTCCCATTCACAGAGAGTTGGGGAATGGCTGCAATCACAGCAAGATGGTGACAGATGTACCCTTAGGCCCCTCCTCCATTCAGAGATGGTCTTTCCCTTTTCACGTAAACGGCCTCCTTGACTCCGCCCTCAAACCAGCGTTCCTCCCTGTCCAGGATGTTACATCCTCATCATTGAAAGAGTGTCCACCAGCCTGTAGAGGTAGACTGAGGAGTCCTAGCCTGACGAGTTAGCTCTTCTCGTTTCGCCGATGTATAAATCACTTAACAGTGTACACTATATAACTCTGTTTGTGTCAGGAGACCTGATCCTTGGGGTCCCCTGACACGCTTTTGGCGAAGTGTGTTTTGAGGTTTCAAAGCCACAGAGACATGGTGTTTAGAAAAAATGTGTCTCAACTGCTCCAATATTCCTGACACATACAGGATCTCTAAGTGTTTTACTTGGGCAGCAGTTGTCCATCTCTCCTGGATCGGCTGGAGCTTTCTTTGTGGGCCTTCTCAGCTTTGACAAATGTCCAGCTGGGATAACAACATTTACTCAGGGCCTCCTTGATGTGATGTTCTTCTGCTTCCCTGTGGGGAAGGTGTTTGCTCTGTGTTGTAGCGTCCTGATGACACTCAGTTTGTGCTCCAGTGGATGATTTCCACTTCTTCCATGAACAAGTTGGCCACAGTGGGTGAAACTGGGGAACCCATGGCACACCCATGTAGTACTGACCCTTGTATGTCAAATAGGTGGAATTAAGACACAGTTCTAAAAGCAAACACACTTGGTCGGTGCTGAGAGTGGTCCTGTTGCTGAGGTGGGGGTCATTCTGTAATATCTTACAAGCTACCTCCAACACTTCAGACAGAAACGTGTGCTCCAGTCGACCACAGCATGTCCGTCTGAAGAGCTGCCACTCGGACAACATCCTGAGCAGCACAGCGGCGCCACAGGGGACGGTCCTATCACCCTTCCTCTTCACCCTCTACATGTCTGACTTCAGGTACAGTCTCAGTCATGTCATCTGCAGAAATTCTCTGATGACTCTGCCATTGTGGGCTGTATCAGGGATGGACAGGAAGAGGAATGCAGGAGTGTGGTGGACAGCTTTGTTGAGTGGTGGGAGCTAAACCATTTACAACTTAACACCACAAAGACAAAGGAACTTGGACTTTAGAAAGCATGCTCCTCCTCCTATCTCTGTCACCACCAGAGGGGCTGACGTGGAGGTAGTTGAGGACTACCGGTACCTGAGGGTACACAATGACTGTAAACTGGACTGGTCCAAGAACACCAATAACGTAAAAAGATGGCGCCTGTGTGTTTGGCACGCCGTCAACCGCTCTTTTTTATCTGTTTGATTTGATTGTTTTTAGCTAATGTTGTGCAACATGTCAGTCCAACACTGTCGTATGATCGCCAGACTTTATTGGAAATCGGCTGATCCACCAAAGTTTCAGTTTGGTTTGGTAAAGATAGCCAGGGTTTTCTGCCTCCCTACCTGGAAGCAGTACCATTGCGCTGGCATCCCCTACCACTGCCACCAGATATGCGGAAGCGACGCAGGTGACGGGGTACCCGTGGAGGTCGCCTCGTTAAGCTGAGAATCCGGATTTCTTACCTTCCTCATGATCTACGCTCCATTCGTCAATCTTTTCCACGACTCTTGGTACCATCGCGTGCTCTGGATCCTGTGGATTCCTGGTTGGTTCCTGTTGTCGGCCCTATTGGGAGCAGCCCTGTTAAATCATTCCCTTTTCGGCATCTGCGCTGGAGGGGAATAGACCGATCAAACCTTCGATCGGTGGATCTGGATGTCACTGCCGCGGAGGTCTCCGAACCAGCTCCCCTCAGGTTGGCTTTAATAAATGCCAGATCGGTGGCGAATAAGACCTGCATCCTGAAGAATTTCTTTTCTTCCCATGCATTGGATTTCCTCTGTTTGACTGAAACACCCGGTGAGTTAAGCGTCTATTCTGAACTGCTGCCCGCTGGCTGTGCTTATTTTAGCGCTCCAAGAGCTTCTGGTGGTGGCGGGGGGTTAGCTGTTGTTTTTAAAGCACACTTTGAGTTTAAGCAACTATCCTCATGGACACGCCACACCAGCTTTGAACTTTGCCTGTGTGAACTTGGCCACTCGCCTTCATTGCTGTGTGCAATAGTTTATCGGCCTCCTAAATATAACAAGGAGTTTTTATCTGAGTTTTCGGAGTTTCTCGCTGACTGTGCATCCCGGTGTTCCAGATCTACTGCCGTTTAGATCAACTGGCGTTGGTCGAACAGATGTGTGGCAGTCTTGCATTTCAGGAGCTGCTACCGACAAACCAGCATGCAAATAAACCTTTGAAATGAATGAAATGACACTAATATTTCACTAGTGTTGTAACATCACATGTCGTTAGCGTAGTCTGTCTGTGTCTTTTCTCTGCGAACAAACATTTTAGAGTTGGTAGTTATATACAGTCTGTATAAGTGTGGTTAATCTAACGAACATTTGTAAGGAGATGGCAGTTACTGTGAATTCACAGCAGTTACAAAGTGATAATAAACAGAGCCAGTGAGAGTGAGTGGATTTAAGAAAGTCAGTGACTCAGGTGTGTTGATTGGTTTGTCATCTGTTGTTGAGACTGGAGGAGACGTAGAAATCTTTTGTTTTAAATCTTAGTTAGGAAGATTCCTGTTTGAAAACAAGCACTTTTTGTGAGAAATGCAAGAAGTACATCTGCAGAAAGCACACAGTTACATTCTGTCCATCATGTGGACAAAACTGAAAATGTTGAGCATTGAAAAACTGAGAACGTCGGGCAAGTTCAAAAGATGTGTTTGTAAGAACGAAAAACCAAATTGTACCTAAAATAGTTATGGAAAGTCTAACTGTTGTATGTCTGTGTTCTACATGTTTATCTGATGGAAAATGAAGTTGCTATTGTTTTATTGCAGTTTTTGACAATCCTGAGTGGATTTACACAGTACGGGTCAAAATGACCCGCAACAAAATCAATGTCACTTTTTTGTTTTTCAACATAAACAAGGGTTAATTTCCAAAACTTGCTTATGATCTTCAATTTGTAGCAGATCCACTCTCACACAGCAGCTGGAGCAATCTCCAATGGAGGTCAGTCCAATGCTGCCACCTGTGGCCAAATACCACAGCCTACTACTAGATTAACTAGTGACACATCTGCACCTGTATGGAAGAAATATAGTATAATCAGAATTCAAGTATTTTTAGACATTGAATTTATAACACTGAATTTTTATCCTCCAAATTTCCCTGCAAAAAATTCACCTGCAAAAAATTCACCTGCAAAAAATTCACCTGCAAAAATTCAACTGCAAAAGTGATGAACTTTTGACCCAAGCCAGAGCAATCAGCACTAGATCGAGTCGAGTGGCTCTCAGCCAATTAAATTACGCTGCTTGATCATATGACACCGTTAGCCAGCAGTGTCTCCTAAAAGAGAGCTGTTTGAAGGTGAGTGATTAAGTTTTTCCTCCTAAATACTTCCACGCAAGTGTTCAGTAAATGTTAACTTTCAATGCCTACCAAACTTTACAAGATGTTGCATCTTTCTATTACACAATGCAGCAAACACCTTTAAGATACACATACAGGATTCAAAACAGTTAACAATGTTTGAAACAGAGTCAGCATCTTTCACATAATGATGGTTCCATCAAGGTCAAGCAACAGCTTCTGAACAACTTCAAAAGTATATTTCAGATCCTTGCATTAGCTCAGACTGACAGC